GAAATTATAGAAATATCAATAACATCTACTGCAGATACATTCCTTTTTTAAATGGAAAAACGAGAGATTTAGATGTAACCCCCTTACAGAAAAATTTAATACTAAAATTAATTTATACTTCTACTGAAAGGTGTTATCTATATAAATTAATTATTTATTTAGAGTACTAAAGTACTAAACAATATATAGTGATTTTAATACTTAAAATAAGTAATTAATTTGTAGCGGTTTATATTGAATCTCTCGCATATTACAACGCGTATTACTACTTTTCGCGGCGATCGACAATCAATTATCGTCTTCTTCAATTGTCGTGGAACTCTATCTTAATTATATTCTATATAAGTCTAATTAAAAGAAAATATATTACAATAAGTACCTCTACTCTTTTTAGATCCTCTGAATCCTTCTTTATGTGCACATCATAAAAGGCATTTCTTGCTGTCAAGCGCATATATTGATCATCCACTTTTTCCCAACTGTACTTCCGCTCATCCCATTTATCTGGCTCCATTGTCATAGGCCAGCCACCTAAATATGATAAGGTAGAAACCAGCGGGTCGATCCCTTCTTTTTCTATCGCGTCTGTAAGCATTAGCGAATTGTCGTAGAATGTAACACGAAATCTATATATTTTTGGTTCGACACTTTATTTATTACAGGTACACTCACCCGTATCCATGCAAGCTTTGTACCACTTTTTCGCAAGTTTTACCGCTGGTAAATCGTTCTTTGTAATCTTAGACTGCACAATCTCTGTGGAATTTAATAATATTAACATAGCTAAATAATTCTCCAATCTTGAATTTTACGAATAGTAATGCATAAATCGGCTGATCACCATATACTTGCTGATAGGTTTTGAGTTGAAGCTTGATCCATATATCCCACTGGTATAATCCTTCTGGAATGGCATTTTTCTCTGGCCATTTCCCACACGCGTACTCATAAAAGTCATCACATGGATTTACTGATCTGTTCATGCCTCCTAATATAAAGTCGGCTGAGAAAAATGGAAAAGAGGAGTTGATGATGAGTTAATGAGTGACAATTTAAATGTTTGGACAGACGATCTAACTGCAGCTTAATAAAATGCGGATACCCATTTTCTTGCACTCTTCAGATTCGCATACAGCGCGTTTTTCTTTCATATTTGTATTTTCACTTATGCCGAACAACCATGCCAAATTCGAAGGATACTCTTGGATCTTCGATAACGTAACATCTCTCGTTAGAAATGTACCAACAAAGGCGCTGTAAAGATCCAGAAATTACAACAATTAATTCTGCAATTATAGATTTTCTATAGTTATACTTAAATTTGAATTGTATGAATTATTAAATGTGTCCACGTGATTTTGCCTCTTCTTCAAAGGTAATTGGATAAGAGATTAGACGAGGGTAGAAACGTCTTTCAACGTTCGAAAACCAATGTTATTAGGAGTACATATCTCGATAAGAGGTTGCACGATCAAAATTTAATTCAAATCTCGCGCCCGCCCGCTTGAAATTAATCGATCCACTTTCAGTATGCCTGTTTGCCTAATACTGAAGTGCACGTTGGCTATCATCTACTGACAGTATCGAAAATATAAATAATTTAGGACCGCTATTTATAGTCGATATATTAATTCTTATATTTAAAACTGTCTTAAGTACAGTCTTAAAATTTTATGTAGATACCAATCGGAGAATGGCATAAGCATTTTAAGATATTATTTAAGACGTTTTTAAAATATACGGACTATACGAATGTCGGCCTAGGTCTGTTCATTTTCGTAAAAAGTTCTGAACTGGTGCAATTAATAAGTTAGAGTGAAACAAACATAGTTTGTCCAATTTATTGCATTTGCAGTATATATCAAAACTTTCTTCGAAAAAGAATACGTCTCTAATGTTTTTCAATAATGTATTTTAATATATTTTAATGTAATAGGAAAATAGAAAAAGAGACGTGCAGAAAGCGAAGCAATCAATAGATCTGTTCGCGTTGCTTGAATTTATCTCCAATGTTAAATGCAAAAAATGTTAGCAACGAGAACAGATCTAATTTCGAGTTATCTCTGGATTAATTTAAAATTATTAAATTGACAATGTAATTATACATATAACTAATGCCCTTGTAAAATTAATAAACATGATACTATGTTTAAAAAGTTGCAATTGTTTAAGTTACGTACAGAAGAATCAATCGCCTCATGTTGGAATAATTTGTCGGCTAATATAAATTTTAATGATGCTGCACAGTAAACGTTTCTATCACAATGTGAAATTGTTTGTCGGCGGGTTACTCTTTTATATGTTACTATTATTTAAGCGGAAAAGCATATCAAATTGATAGAGCCGAAGGTCGAAGACACATCTTTCTCGTCCTGTTGATTTATAAATTTAAATGTAATTTATGCATTAACTTGGAAATTCTTTCTTTGGTAGAGTCAAATTAGAATTTATCTTTCTCTCTTTTTTCATATATGACAATTTCTATTTCAGACTTGAAATTATTTCTCAAAATGTATAAACTGCAATAATTAACAGAAACAATAAATATTAAAATACCGATAAATATTGTGTAGGATTAGTAATCACCGCAGATACATTATCATTATTTAACTTTCTACTTCATTTTAAAGGAATTTTTATAAGGAGGATACAATTGTCTATTTTTGTATTTTTCTGAAGAAAATATTTTATATCACTCCGTCCCAGTAATTATGTAACATATCTCGAATAATGTTAATTGAAAGCGTCAATTGTATCGTAATCAACAGAATCTCTTTCGGATCAGTGCATACGCGTGAGATATGCAATGAATGAACGATCTATAATTATTTTTCTCGGAATGTTTGCCATCTCATTATGTGTCATGTAATCATCACATTCCACTCACATAACAGAAATATGGAAGGAAAATTTTTTCCCTTTCATTATATTATGTTCTTTTTTCTTTTTTTCAAAGTTTATTATCAATTTTTATTTCTACATTCGATTGATTATACTTTAAATTTACTTATAAAACTTTCAACTTATAAAAAATTGAAAATATCGGAATACAAGTTTAAAAATAAATACACTTCTTTAAATCATTGAATCGCGTGCTTCTCATTTGTATTTATAAAAATTTATCTTATTATGCTTTTTTTCTAAAGTTTATATTATATATTGTTTATATATATAATATTTAAAAATAAATCGCAAGTGTTA